GGGAACACCTTCCCTGGGCCCACCCTGCTCACCCCATCAAATAAACTGGGAGGTGGCTGTAGATCAGGGTCTGCGTTCAGGTCATTGCTTTAAGCGTTGCTGTTATATCTATTCCCGGTGGAGTTTTCGCATGTGCTTAGAATTAAAGATGTGCTTAAGTGCAGGATAGGATGCTTATCTCAGGATAGGGATGAGCTGTATTAGAGCCCAGCTGTACCCATGCATGGGTATTTTATTCTCCTCCTTGGCAATCGCTTTCTCTCTGTATTCTCGAGAGAGGAGGCTAATATAGCTTCCTTCTATTTACTCACTCCTGTCTCATAGCAACACTGTCGAGGTCACTGCTGCTCTCTTGTGACGGTCTTTTACATTAAAAGCACAAGATGCAGTCTCACGGTGCCTGGGGAATTCGAGTTAAATTTCTTAACCAAGGGGAAAAAAGTACAGGTTTAAATGTCTAAAAAGACCTGAGGTGGATAGCCATATACTGACATTCAGATTGTACTTGTCACCTCTATATATATATATATAAAAATATATCCAAATCTGTTGCCTATATGGATTAAGGAATTGCTGCTTTCTGTGTCAAGCAGAAAACTGTGTGTACAAGTTCTGGTTCTGCAAAGGTTTGCCCGTGCAGAACAACTTGTGTAGTCACTGCCATAGCAAAGGGCGTTCTGCAGCTTGTCTGGCATCAATCTGTTCTGTCTGTTACTCATGCTGCTCTTAAAAGCCCAATAAAATAATAAGCACATTTGGAGTTCAGAGAATTAATATTTTAATACCTTTTTTCCTGCTGTATTTATGCTCCCCTTTTTAACTCCGTTCTCTGTGGAGCTGAACTCTGATCCATGCTGCTTGACAGCTTTGCAAGGGGAAACCAAACCCCTCTCTGTCCTTAGGGCCTTTCACTGGCTTCCCCTCTCCAAGTTTCAAAGCCACTGCTGCTTCTAGATGTGTGCTTCCTCCAAACCAGGGCACTCCAATTTGCATATTTTTGGAGTACCTCTTAACTTCAGACAGATTTTCTTTTTTCACTGGAAACTATTTGGGTACCAAGCTATAAGACACCCCAGAAATGTTTGCTTCCATGTAGAAGAGACAAGCTCCTTCCATGCTGGTATCTGGGCTTCAAACTGGGCTAATTACCACATGGTTAAATTAATTTAGAGCAAAGCGGGAGAGCCTTGGACTCAACGCTGCCATAGCTGCTAATTGACAGCCGCGCTGCCGCGTAGCATCTGCAGGCTGAACTGGTGTTGCATGAGCTGGTTTGCTTATCTGGTGAAAGACTGATGTGTTTGGATGCTGCATGTTAGCTCATCCATGAAAACCACCAGTCCGTGTGCTTTTGGGCTGTGGGAAATGCGAGATAATCTGATTTCGAGCTTCACGTTGCTCCATTGCAAACCAACAGAGGTTCGCTGTTCTTTCATCTCTGCAGACTCAAAGCACGCCACTGATTTAAGTTACAGGAGCTAAGTTGTTGCATGGTAACTTAATCACGTACCCCGAGCTCTCGTGTACTCATCAGCTCTGTGCACCTAAACCGGCCCTGGGAGAAGGTCTTAACTTCCTGGTGGTCTTAAAAGCCACGCCATGTTTGCACAGCAGGCATGGAATAACAAAAACCAGCGCTCGAGATTTGGTTCTTCTGTTTGTGTTCGGTTGAGAGCGGAGAGAGCTGTGCGTGGTTTGGAGCAGCGCAGGGTAGGAGCGGCCCAGGAAGTGACGGGGACACGGGGACGTGTGGCATTGTCTGCTGCTGCTGTCAGTGTGCGCTGGGAGACTCCTGTATTCCTTTGCAGCTGTGCATCCAACTCCTGTCTCTCTCGAAGTGTACCTTTTCTTGGTCTTGACTCGGTCACAAAG